GGGCGGAGCACACTCGGCAGGGGACCAGGGCAGAGCACACTTGGCAGGGGACCAGGGCGGAGCACACTTGGCAGGGGACCAGGGTGGAGCACACTCGGCAGGGGACCAGGGCGGAGCACCCTTGGCAGGGGACCAGGGCGGAGCACCCTTGGCAGGGGACCAGGGCGGAGCACCCTTGGCAGGGGACCAGGGCATAGGAGGCTCAGGTGAAGATAGCACCGACAAGGTCCATGTCAGCGCTGCCTCCATGGCCCTCTCAGGGTACCTACTGCCCCCCCCAAAAAAATACTTGGGGAAATCCACGGGAGGAACCTCCGGGCTGTAACTGGGTTGAAGAGTAACCTCCCAGAGCTTGAAGGACACAGGTAAGACGAGGCGCAGAGGCGGGGCCGGCAGGGCGAGGCGCAGAGGCGGGGCCGGCAGGGCGAGGCGCAGAGGCGGGGCCGGCAGGGCGAGGAGTCTGGTTACGCTCACCGGAGCCTGGCGAGCCGAACGAGTCCTCCTTCTCCTCTTCCTGCGACGGCGAGTCACTTGGCTAGATTCACTCACTTGGTTTGATTTAGCACTGGAAGCACTTGTCTCACTTGACTCGGCACTTGGCTCACTTGACTCGGCACTTGATTCACTTGACTCGGCACTTGATTCACTTGATTCACTTGACTCGGCACTAGACTCACTTGACTCGGCACTAGACTCACTTGACTCGGCACTAGACTCACTTGACTTACTTGACTCGGCACTTGACTCACTTGACTCGGCACTTGACTCACTTGATTCGGCACTTGGCTCCCTTGACTCGGCACTTGATTCACTTGACTCGGCATTTGACTTACTTGATTCGGCACTTGACTCACTTGATTCGGCACTTGACTCACTTGACTCGGCACTAGACTCACTTGACTCGGCACTTGATTCACTTGACTCACGTGACTCGGCACTTGACTCACTTGATTCACTTGACTCACTTGATTCGGCACTTGACTCGTAAAGCGCGGGCTTGTGGAGCGCGGTCTCGGCAGGGCTGGAGTGAAACGCGGGTTCGGCTGAGCAGACGTGAAGCGCGGGCTTGTGGAGCGTGGTCTCGGCAGAGCTGAAGTGAAACGCGGGTTCGGCTGAGCAGACGTGAAGCGCGGGCTTGTGGAGCGTGGTCTCGGCAGAGCTGAAGTGAAGCGCGGGCGCGGGCGAGACCGGGCTGACGTGAAGCGCAGGCTCTCGCAGCTTCTCCTCCACGCCCACGGTAAACGAAGAGCCGCTCCACAACAGGGCCAAGTCGATATACCACTCTAAAGACCCGTGCGGATCAGGTTCGGGCATCTGAGACCCGAGAGGTTCCGATAATCCCCCGCGGAAGAAGATCTTCAAGCACTGTGTGCTCATATGCGCGAGATGCGCCAGCTCGAGGAATTCTGTGACATAATCCTCGATGGCGCGATTCTCCTGGCGAAGACGGAGAATCTGGACGTCGACTGGACTCCAGAAAGGCATGGCTGCTGGATCACGATCAGGTGAGTTCTTCTGTAACGCGGTGCGGTTGAAGCAGAGATGAGGCTGGATCCAAGTGCAGCACACGCTTTATTTAACAAACTACAAACTAAACAGACTGGATACAGGACTCAGGAACAGGATTCAAGAACAGGAACAAACCAACACGAGCGTTAACAGTCAAACATTAAACAAGAACTCACAAAGACAAGACTGAAACACAGGGCTTAAATAATCAGGGACAAACGAGCTAAACAAGGGGGCGTGGGAAATCAGAAACACCTGGGATAACTAATAGACAAGACAGGGAACCATAGAACAAGACAGGGCACAAAACCACATCGTAACAAATGCATTGTATTTTTAGGTCTTGCATTTTTATGGGCTGAAATTCAACATGGTCGTATACGCTATTTGTTTTTTATCAATGTATTTACTCAAGATTATTTTATACAGAAAACTGATTTGTGTAATAAAAATGTATTTCTAGGTATTTAATGTACTTTTCATTTTATTTTTGTTATTATAAGAACTATTTATTTTATTGGGAAGATACCAAATAACCTACATTAAAATAATTGGGTTCTTTTCAAAATAAATTCTTACATTTTATAAATGACTTTAAATTGTACATAAACCTTTTGCAATCATTTTAGTTTTTACTTTTATCCTTCAAAGAAAAGAAAGCAATGAAGTCTCCAGTGTTTGGAGAGAGACCAGCATGGGAATATGTGTTGGGAAGAGTCGATCCGCTGAGTAAAATATACAGTCATACTCATACTGTTATTCACAAGTGTTTATGCTTCTGCTCAGCAGTAATGTTTTCTTCATCATTATACTGTGTGTTTGCACTAGGAGCTCTCATAAGTTCAACGGGTGCAAATAAGAGAAATTACACAAGAGGACCCAAGACTTGGAAAACGTATTTAAATTACAGCCTAATAAAAGTCGGTCTTTATGTTTCAATTTAATATCTTCACAGTGTTTTGATGTATCAGGATTTTTTTGATGACATTTTGTCAAGAGTTTCGAGTGAATTGGATCAAACGGAGAAGTTTCTTTTCCTGTATTTCCAAGATTGAGATCTTTATGACTTACAGTCTCTGACGCCCAGACATGTTTAGAGCAGAAAAATAATAATTGATAAAACAGTGCAAATACAATAATGTTGCAGCAGTGCTTAAACCCCTAAAATACACCTGGATTAAAATGCGTTTAAGAAATCCCACTTCTACATGAATTATAAATGAGTGATGTGACTCTACAGTTAAACTAAATGACTGTGATCTTCAACAACACAAACAGCAGGGGTGTGTCTGGGGCACGGGGTGGCACTGGCCCCCCCTGGTGCCCCCCCAACATCATTGGGCTAGATTTACTGTCAACCTGACAATGCCCAACGCTATTGGATCAGAGCGCTGTCAATCACTGCTTGATTTGCGATTCGCAAAGCGGAATCACAGGTCTGCGTTTTTCAAACAGTAGGAGAGAGAGACACCTCGACACGTCACTGTTTATGGTATACACACTCAATTATAGTATATATTTTGAAATATCGCACCATATGTTAGTCTGATTACTTTCATATGTGACTGATCAAGCCAGTAACGTTAGATTAGCTAACGTAACTTCGGCAGATGACTTGTCAGTGTTATTCCGCGGCAGCGCCTCTATATAAATATAAAATAGATACATGGGTCATTCCTGGTATGCGGTGACTTTCCTGTCCCAATGATTTATTTACTCATATTTTCTCTAGTCACATATAATTAGTCACATATTTATAATAAATGGCTTAAATTATAGATTTAAGTATTCTTTACCAATTAAACAGAGATAATAGACATTAAAAATACTATTTTGTATTTGACACAATTTTAATTGATGTATGCATTCAATTATATCATGTCCTCAGTGCACAGTAATCAACTTCTGCAAGAAATATTAACCATGAAATGACAAAAACCTCAAAATATTTTTAAATTATGTTATAGACTAGGCTAAATTGCCTCTAATCATACATATAAATCATGTGAAAATAGGTCTTTTTCTTAAAATTTTCTTCAATTACTGCATCCCTGAAGTCATCTTCCACCCTCTTAGTATGTACTTTTTTGCCTTCCAAATCCAACTGCAATTTCATTGAGACCATTTTCAAGAAGTGACTTCATTCCTTTTACCTGCTGGAATTCAACTGTACAAACTGAGGTAAGCTTCAACTCTCACTCCTAACTTTTTTTTTAGTTTTTGAAATGTTATCCTTTGAAATGTTTGTCCTATCAAAAAAAATGTAAAAACAAACCTGACATAGTTATAAAAGTTCTGTTCATCTGTAGAAGGTTAGCTAGCTAAATGTTGATCACTCACAGAGCTATGGCTAACTTAGCTCAGAATTTTCCACCCTGTTAGATTCCACCCTGTTAGGTCAATAAACCTAACAGGGTGGAATGTGAAACATATTCTATTCATCAAAAATTGTTTTGCTTGTTTCAAGAAGAAAAAAAAAATATCTAAGATGGCATAAGGGACATATACTATCCAAGAAAAGCTTATTATTTAAGCTTTAAGCCAAGTTATTGTTTAACATTTACATTATTAACATGTTGTGATAACCTATGTATATGTCCCTAACAGGGTGGAATATTTTTATGGACAGTGTCTGAACAATATACCAATAATTATTATTATAGAGTCCCTGAGCTTGACCTATATGTATTCCTTATAGTTAAACATGTCAAAATTTTGATAGAATGCTAAAAACATGAAAATCATGTCCTTTTTTTCCCAACACTTATGAAGCCAAAATGTCACCGCATACCAGGAATGACCCACATATTACTTTAGCTTTTGTTTTACAGACTAAAGGCACTATAATCTTTTTCCAAAAAAAGCAGAGCCGTGGTAAACATTAAAATGTGAGAACTTTACATGCAACTCTGTGTAATTTATACTGAATGGGTTTTTGCTTATTTTTACACCGCAACAGGACATCCAAGGTTTCTTTAAGAAGAAACCATGTCAGAGACAGATTTCATGCAGATAACGTTCGCCGACACACAAACACACACACATTCAATGTTTGTGTTGAGAATAAACCATGTTAAATTACTAATTAATGCCTAGGTAATGTTTTTTTATTTATTAGAACAAAACTGTGTGGTCCAATCCATGTAAAATACAAAATGATTTTCAGGGTTTTGTTCGGTGCCACATTTAATACCATCTATATTAGGTCACTGAGCATTGCAAAGATTTTTTTAAATCGTGCTTAATATTTTCTAAACAAGTATTTATTTCCATTTGAATTTTCTGATTTCCCATGGGCCCCACCTGACTGGATCTTGGTCCCCCCTGTGCCCCCCCATTTATAAAATCCTGGAATCGCCCCTGACAAACAGAGCTTGAGAAAAGCACAGATACACACCGTCACACACACTAATGTCTATATGAGGATTTATTACACACATTTATTCTGACATGATATTTCAGTGACAGAAGTTCAGCTGTGTTATTATTGTAATAAAGAGAAATAAGAGACTCTATAACATCTCACTGTTACTGATTTATCATGCAGCTCAAAGCATTATGGGTAGAATCTCTCTACAGTCTATTCTCATTCATCAACAGTCTCACTGATGATCCAGTATAAACCCCTAACCCAGGATAGAGTGTGTGTGTGAATGTGGTCTGGACTGTGTGTATGAGGCTCATTGTGTCTCTGTCGACGCTGTAGAAGGACAGAGTTCCTGCACTGTGATCCACATACACTCCTATTCTCCTGCTGATGGGCTTTACAGGGAGTTCAGTCTGTATGTCATTGTGTATGAATGAGTAACTGGAGGAAGAGCAGAACAAACTCCAGGACTGATCATTACGTCCAAACACACACTCATTACCTGATCCCTTCCTGCTGATGTTCTTATATGACACTGCTATAGACACATCATTCCCACTCCACTCAATCTCCCAGTAAGAGAGTCCACTCACACTCTCTCTACACAACACATGAACATAATAATTAAATCTGTCTGGATGATCAGGATACGACTGAATCTCTGGGTGAATGTTAGTAATCACTCTGTTCTCCTCAGACAGACGGAGGTGTTTATTCACTGTGTTCGGATCCAGAGTGAAATGTTGGTAATCTGATGGAGATAAAACACATCAGAATCAGGAATTATGAATCTGATATTTTAATGTATCTGAACTCTTCATGTTCAGTATATCAGTATATCTCAGTACAGTTTAATCATCATTTACATGATCAACTCTAAAACTCTTCTGTCATGTTTTCTCTCCGCTCCTACAGGAAGAACATGAACACACTCAGAGAGTTTCTCTGCTTGTTTTCTGACTTACATTGAAGGAACTCGCACCTGGTCTTGGGAACAGTGACTGTGGAAATCAACAGACATGAAGAGTGTGATTATCATGTCAAGAGAAAATGATCCTGTATCCATTGCTAACACATGCAGAAATCCTCCAACACAGAAGATCTTTAGAAATGTCTCTGCTGTTTACAGAGCCCAGATCCTGACACAACCACTATTGAGGGTTTGATATTATTGACATGTCACCATATTTGATTTGGCTTCTGTAGACATGAACTGATCACAGATTTGATTTAAGGAGAATAGGACTTCAATTTCACTTTGTTCATAATACAAAGTAATCATATCACTTCATTATTCATTTCTTGCTGGTCCACTAGGGAGACCACACTGTAGTTGCAGCCGTCGTGTGTGCTGACGCGCCAAGTACACTGCAGCCGAAAAGTACACTGCATATGGAAAGAAGCGTAAATGGATGGAGAAGCATAGTTTACTGTACTGTAAAGCTACGTCTTAGTGTTGCTTATCTTGGCGAAAGCCGAGTACAAATCAGCATGAAGTTTTAATATCTACTCTCGTGTAATGGAAATCATAAGACTTTGATTAAACCTCTCACCTCCCTATTAGTCTTTTTCAAAGAGACATCAATTGATCAATAAATTTCTCATGCTCAATCATTTAATTAGCCTATATTATAATACAGTGCAGTGTTTTGAAATTGCCATCACTACTATTAAAGCCTTCTGACCCTGATCTTCATCTTCTTGTGATTTATACAACCAAGTTGTGACACATACCTTATTTTATAGATTTTATTTTCCTGTGGTCAGTTCAATTACTTGCTTTACATTGAACTCCTGTATGCTGTGCATTTATTATGAATAATTAATATTGATTATTATTAAATAATATAAATTATGAAATTTGCATTTGTTAAACATTATTTATACTAATCAATCATTTTGTTTTCAGAGATGACTAGAGTTCTTACTGCAGAAATGCCATCATACAGTGGGCTTAAGAGTCAACCGTTTTTGTGTGTTAAATTGATTATTTGTTTTTTTTTGTGTGTGTGTTTTGTTTATCATTGTCATTGTTTATTCTTTTTTTTATGTCAGATATATTTATAAATGTCCTATTGGTTTTCATTCAGAGAAATGTACGTTTCACTTCTTCAAGGCTTTGTATTGTTTATTGTGAATTTCATATGATTATGTACAGTAGCTTACATTAGACATCAAAGACGTCTCAGGTTACGTATGTAACCCTGGTTCCCTGAGAGGGAACGAGGCGTTGAGACGCGGTGGGAACGCCTTGTGTGATTGCGTCGTAAAGCACGTGTATAATCAGTCTAATGGAAGAGCGAGACGTCATAGGCGGGTGACGTCATAGACCAGGAAGCTATAAAGCACCCCTGAAAACAGACCGCGTCAGCTTCTGATAAGCCTGAAGCAAGTCGATCAGGGCATGCAGGAAGTATGGCAGGAGAATGCAGCGTCTCATTGCAGATATGTTTTTACTTCGGAGCCAAGAGGTCCTCTTCACTCCTACAGCCTGAATGCTCTCTGATTGTCATCGAGTATCCTTTGAGACGAGCAGCTCTCCAGTCTGTGTTGGTGCAAAGGCGATTTTCCAGCGAGTTTCACATTCCTGCCTGCTGATCTGTGCAGTGGTCTGCATCCAGTGTGTGTGTTTCTCCCTGGCCGCTTCTGCAAAGGCTGCTGAGCGTCCTTTCATAAAAGAGCTTGCACGGGCACGTCTTTTTCAAGATGTTTCGCCCTTGTATTTCTGGGTGCGGTCGTTCCGTCTCATTATCTGATGGGCATGATCGTTGTCTTGCGTGTTTGGGCTTAGAACACGCAAAGGCAGCTTTCATGGATGAGTCATGTTCTCACTGCGGGAACATGACCATCACTGCGCTGAGATCGAGGCTCCGTGACCTTATTAAAGGTAGAGTCCCCTCTGCCACACCCCGATATGTCCCCTCCATGAGAGGCGACACTTTGGCTGGTGCCCAGGGTGATCTGAGGGTTACGGTGTGGAATTCTGCCCCGACGATGCGTCCTCGGGCCACACCCCCCTCACCAGCGCAGCAACCCGCGAGTTCCTCGGGTGCAGCCGCGGGGCCATCTCCGGATGTGCCCCGTGTCTCATTCGGTGCTCCAGATGATGAGGCGATGTCGATCGCCGCATTACAAGGCGAGCTGGTATTTTCTGTGGATGAGGATGTGCTGCCGCCCCCGGGGTCACAGCATTGTCCAAGTCCGACCCGGAACTAACAGCTATGCTTTCCCGGGCCGCTGCGAGTGTCGGGTTAGCGTGGTACTCTCCACCCTCTCCTGAACGCTCGCGGTCAGATGATTGGTTCTTGGGAGTTGCACGCGCTGACTCTCGTCGGCGCACCCCCCCAGTTCCTTTCTTCCCGGAAGTGCATGAGGAGGTCATGAGGAGCGTTGTCTTCCCGTGATCGGTCGGCAACCTCCTCCGCCTTCTCTGCCCTTGATGAGGCCGCGGTGAAAGGGTACACTGGGGTTCCCCCTGTCGAACGCTCTGTTGCGATGCAACTGTGTCCGCAGAGTGAGGCGTAATGACCCAAAGCACCCCTCCAAAGCCTGTAGGTTTTCGTCTACCCTGGTGGCGAATTCCTACAGAGCTGCAGGGCAGGCCGCCGCCTCTCTGCATGCCATGGCCATCCTCCAGGTCTACCAGGCCAGGATGCTCTGGGACATGCACGAGGGCAGAGCTCACCAAGGGCTCTTTGATGAGCTGCGCACCGCCACCGACCTTGCTCTCCGAGCGACGAAGGTGACCGCACGCTACTTTTAAAATATCTAATTCAAAACTAAAATAAATATTCTCTGTTTATGTAATCTATAAAAAAAGAGAGAGGTGTAAGCCGATCTCATTATCGTTCTCTCAGCTCATTATTTTGCTAATGTGACACGCCCATGGAGAGCGCGCGGTATTCAAACGCAAATGATCTGAAGCGACACATGCAAACGTGTCAACGCCCCTCATAAACGCGATAACACAACAAATGTAATCATCAGATTATTGTACTATTTCGTCTTGCGAGGCCGTGTGAGGAATAATCCTGGGACATTTACCTCAGAACATGTGCTGGTTTATTTTCATTTCGAGGAGCGACGGATCTAGCCGAGAATTGTGAGTACGTTTTTTATTCTTGTGCTTTGTTCTAATCGCAATATGGAATGGTGTCTGTAAACGCAAAAAGACTGTTTAAATTTTAATCACGTTTCTGTGTGTGAATGAATTAAGGGCACATATGGGCGCTGTTGTTTATGTTACAGATGAAATATGAAAGACAACATTTCATAGTTTTTGGATAGATTATAACGTTTTAATTCTAAAATAGACATCAAATAAGCTTTTGTTAGCCAGTTTCTGCTCATAAATATATAGTATGTTCGGTCAAAAATAAACTCATCAACTAAGATGTTATAGTATTTGTTCCAATGTAAGGGTACTTTAAAAAAGAATACTTTATAAGAAATTTATGGGAAAAGACGATTTTCTTTTCAAGATGTTTCCAACTCTAACTTTGAACAAATTCTGTAGAGTGGCCCATATAGCCTATTTGAACAGGATATGTTTCCAGGCATGACTATGTACTAAAAATGTGCTTTTGACTTATATATATATATACTGCCGTTCAAAAGTTTGGGGTCGGTACGATTTTTAATGTTTTAAAATAAGTCACTTATGCTCACCAATGCTGTATTTATTTCATTAAAAATACAACACAAAACAGTAATATAGTGAAATATTATTACAATTTAAAATAACTGTTTTCGATTTTAATATATTTTAATATATTATTTATTCCTGTGATCAAAGCTGAATTTTCAGCATCATTACTCCAGTCTTCAGTGTCACATGATCCTTCAGAAATCATTCTGATATGATGATTTGATGCTCAAGAAACATTTATGATTATGATCAATGTTGAAAACAGTTGTGTACCATTTGTTTTAGGATTCTTTGATGAACAGAAAGTTAAAAACAACAGCATTTATTTAAATTAATTTATCCAGAAGGGACACTAGGTCTGAGAACCACACTCAGGCCGGCCAGTGCGGGGCTACTAATAATAGATGAGCCCCTTCCTGGCGAACCCTCTCCAGAACTCCCGGGAGCATTGATATCGTGGGAAAAGCGTATAGGTGTAACCTCGGCCACACCTGCACCATCGCGTCCAGTCCGAGAGGAGCTGGATATGTAAGGGAGAACCATAGCGGACAATGGGTTGTATCGGATGATGCGAAAAGATCAACCTGAGCTTGACCATAGTTCTCCCATAGGAGCTCCACCACCTCGGGGTGATGTCTCCACTCCCCGGGCCTCAGCCCCTGCCTTGACAGGATATCTGCTCCCACATTCAGAAACCCTGGAATATATACTGCCCTGAGTGACAGTAATTTCCCCTGGGCCCATAGGAGGATCTGATCAGCCAGTTTGCATAATAATCGAGACCTCAGACCCTCCTGATGGTTGATGTAAGAGATCACCAATGTGTTGTCTGTGCGGAAAAGCACATGGTGGCCTCTCAGGTCTGGCAGGAAGTATTTGAGAGCTCGAAATACCGCCATCATTTCTAGTCGATTTATATGCCAAAAAAGCTGATGGTCCTGCCAGAGACCTGTCGCAGAGCGGCCACTCATGACCGCCCCCCAGCCTATAAGGGAAGCATCCGTCAATAGCGTTACGCGTCGACAAGAAGCCCCCAATACTGGGCCCTGGGCAAGGAACCAAGGTTTCTTCCACATGACCAAGGCACGTAGGCATTGCCGTGTGACCTTGATCGTGCGAAATGGATTTCCCCTCTGAGAAAACCCCTTGGTCCTGAGCCACCACTGCAGGGGTCTCATGTACAGAAGGCCAAAAGTAATTACGTTGGACGCAGCTGCCATGAGACCCAACAGTCTCTGAAACTGTTTCACAGTGAGTGACTGGCCTAGTTTTACCCTCTTTATGGCTGTGAGAATCTCAGAAATACGTGCTGGAGACAATCGTGCTTGCATAGTTGTCGAATCCCACACCACCCCTAGAAAAGTGGTCCTCTGGGCCTGGAGGAGCACACTCTTCTTGGTGTTTAGCCGCAAAACCCAACCTTTTATGTGAGACAGAACAACATCTCGATGCCGAACTGCCATCTGCTCTGAATGAGCTAGGATCAACCTGTCGTCGATATAATTTAATACGCGAATGCCCTGGAGTCTCAGAGGAGCCAGCGCTGCTTCCACGCATTTTGTAAAGGTGCGGGGTGATAAACCTAGGCCGAACGGAAGGACCCGATATTGGTATGCTTCGCCCCCGAAAGCAAACCTCAGGAACTTCCTGTGATGAGGATGTATGGATACATGAAAGTAAGCGTCCTTTAAGTCTATTGTGACAAACCAGTCCTCGGACTGAATCTGTGATACAATCTGTTTGAGTGTAAGCATCTTGAACTTGAGTTTCTGAACTCTGCTGTTTAAATGACGAAGATCTAGAATAGGACGCAACCCCCCATCCTTTTTGGGAACGATGAAGTAACGGCAGTAAAACCCCGACTCTCTGCTGGGAGGAGAAACGCTTTCTATAGCCCCTTTTTGCAGAAGCTTCAGTACTTCTTGCTCCATGACCAGAGCCCGCTCTGGGTCCACCACTGTGGATAGAACCCCTTGAAATCTGGGCGGACGAGAACCGAACTGAATTCTGTAACCCTTTTCTATAGTGTGCAGGACCCACTGAGAAATATTTGGCAGTAGTTTCCACACTGCCAGAAATTCTACTAAAGGGACCAGTCACTCGAGACTGGCCTCTGGATTTGGTTGAACAGTCACTTCGGTGCCCTGAAGCGGCAAACCGAACTGACAACCAAACAACCAAACTGACCGTTCTACGACCCTCCTCGGAGGATCGTCGCCGAACAAACTTGAAGGAGAAATCGGGGCGTCCAGAAGAACAGACCTATTTTTATTTTTTATATCTGAAAGATTTAACCAAAGATGACGCTCCGTGGCCACCAGGGCTGCCATAGAACTGCCACTGATTTGGCCGTTTCCTTGGTGGCCCGGAGAGACAGGTCTGTTGCGTGATGCAATTCTCGAATTGCGCCCGCGCTGACTTCCTCACGTTCATCGATATCCTTCAGCAGATCAGCCTGGTATGCCTGTAGTAAAGACATAGTGTGCAGGCATGACGCAGCCTGACCTGCTGCCGAATACGCTTTACCCACCAGCGTAGAAGTAGATTTTAAAGGCTTGGTGGGTAACGTCGGGGCTTTTAATGACAACGCTGACTAGGGGGAGAGATAGCTTGCAAGCGTCTCTTCCGCCCGAGGCACCGTCAAATAACAATTATTACTATAATTGGATGTTTGCGGATTAAACACTCTGAATGAAGCCGGTTTATTCCACGATCTTGACACCTCAGTGTGGACACCTCACTTGACACCTCAGTCCCCGACGTGGAGGGTGTGTTCTAGATGGTAGAAATCTTTCATCTTGTAAACTCTTTTTAATTACACTCTCAGAATTATCGGCAGGCCAATTAATATTTAATTTCGCTACAGCACGAGATAAAACCTCCATAAGCTGGCAAAGACTCATTATCCCCCATTTCAATACTGACGACATCCAGTTCCTCAGAACTGGATACCCTCAGCATTGGTGCCTCAGCCTGGGAAGGAGAAACCGCAGCGCGGGCTCCTTCCTGGGCAGAGGCACTGGATCCAGCAGGTAAGGGCTGAGAAAGGGCGGGGCCCGTCTCAAGCCCCGCTACCAGATCTATATGCGAAACCCAAGATGAAAGCCGCCGCTGTGCCTCGGCAGCAGCGGGACCCGCACCTCGGGGAGCGCGAACCGAACCGTCCTCCTCGAAGAACGCCCGGCGGGAGCAGAGCGTCCTCACGGACAGCTTCTCGCAATGCTCACAGTCAGCCCCCTCGAGAACTGACTGGGCATGCCCCACTCCCAAACAAGCAACACAAAGCTGATGTGTGTCCCCACCCGTGATGAAACGAGGGCAGGGAACAACACAACGTTTGAATTCCTGTTTCGCCATAATAATATATACACTCACCGGCCACTTTATTAGGTACCCCATTCTAGTAACGGGTTGGACCCCCTTTTGCCTTCAGAACTGCCTCAATTCTTCGTGGCATAGATTCAACAAGGTGCTGGAAGCATTCCTTAGGGAGTTTGGTCCATATTGACATGATGGCATCACACAGTTGCCGCAGATTTGTCGGCTGCACATCCATGATGCGAATCTCCCGTTCCACCACATCCCAAAGATGCTCTATTGGGTTGAGATCTGGTGACTGTGGAGGCCATTTTAGTACAGTGAACTCATTGTCATGTTCAAGAAACCAATTTGAAATGATTAGAGCTTTGTGACATGGTGGAAGTAGCCATCAGAGGATGGGTACATGGTGGCCATAAAGGGATGGACATGGTCAGAAACAATGCTCAGGTAGGCCGTGGCATTTAAACGATGCCCAATTGGCACTAAGGGGCCTAAAGTGTGCCAGGAAAACATCCCCCACACCATTACACCACCACCACCAGCCTGCACAGTGGTAACAAGGCATGATGGTTCCATGTTCTCATTCTGACTCTAACATCTGAATGTCTCAACAGAAATCGAGACTCATCAGACCAGGCAACATTTTTCCAGTCTTCAACTGTTCAATTTTGGTGAGCTCTTGCAAATTGTAGCCTCTTTTTCCTATTTGTAGTGGAGATGAGTGGTACCCGGTGGAGTCTTCTGCTGTTGTAGCCCATCCGCCTCAAGGTTGTGCGTGTTGTGGCTTCACAAATGCTTTGCTGCATACCTCGGTTGTAAAGAGTGGTTATTTCAGTCACTGTTGCCCTTCTATCAGCTCGAACCAGTCTGGCCATTCTCCTCTGACCTCTGGCATCAACAAGGCATTTCCGCCCACAGAACTGCCGCTCACTGGATGTTTTTTCTTTTTCGGACCATTCTCTGTAAACCCTAGAGATGGTTGTGCGTGAAAATCCCAGTAGATTAGCAGTTTCTGAAATACTCAGACCAGCCCTTCTGGCACCAACAATCATGCCACGTTCAAAGTCACTCAAATCAACTTTCTTCCCCATACTGATGCTCGGTTTGAACTGCAGGAGATTGTCTTGACCATGTCTACATGCCTAAATGCACTGAGTTGCCGCCATGTGATTGGCTGCTTAGAAATTAAGTGTTAACGAGCAGTTGGACAGGTGTACCTAATAAAGTGGCCGGTGAGTGTATATATATATATATATATTGTGCTTGTGACAGACAACAATAAATAGACAAGGACAGTATACCGAGAGCGCTTGCTGAAGGCACAGAAGCTGACGCGGTCTGTTTTCAGGGGTGCTTTATAGCTTCCTGGTCTATGACGTCACCCGCCTATGACGTCTCGCTCTTCCATTGGACTGATTATACACGTGCTTCACGACGCAATCACGCAGGGCGTTCCCACCGCGTCTCAACGCAGCTCGAGTTCCCTTGAAAGGGATCATAATATACTCTGTCTTTAAGGACTATCTGTAAAAACATGAACGAAGGAAATAATACGTTCATATATATATGTTACATATCAAACACGTCAACATGTTACACATTTAATTATAGCCACACCTGTAAGGAAATATGGTTGTATATACAAACACTGACTGTGTAAGATAAAGATTAATGCAAAATGAAGATTAATGCATAAAGATTAATGCATATGACACTTACCTGAAGACCGTATGGGGCCGATAGCATCACTGGTTTCACTCACTCCCACTTTACCCACTATCCTGTAGCGGATCAAGTACTGCTTTCCAGACTCCAATCCAGTCAGAGTAAAGTCTTCATCAGCTGTGTTTATGATCATCCACTGTTCCTCAGCGCCAGAATCTGCTTTCACCTGCTGGTACTCCACTCTGTAATGCACAGTTTCTCCAGTCGGGGACTTCTGCAGTTTCAGTAACACACTGCGCTCCAGGACCTTCTTCACTTCTGGTGGGGGAGGCTTCGACACGGGCTGGAACTGTGTGTCTGTCAGATTCCCTTTTTCATACAGATAGATAGAGGAGCCTGGACTGGAGGGATCGGAGATGGCAGAAATAATGAATCGATACCTCTTTTCATCTTTATTAGCCTCTGAAAAACTTTTGAAAAGAGATAAGTTCTCTCTCATCTTTAAGATGACACGAAGATTGTTGTGCCACTCTTCTGATACTAACGTGCTAGACTGGACTTTCACCACATCTAGCTCTTTAAACTCGTCAGATTCCAGAAACTTCTTCAGGGTTGAAAGATACGGGTCTTCATATTTCAGAGATGTGAAGGTCAAGCACACCACAACATCAATATTAGGATTAAGGAAGTCGATTTTGAGACGGTTTGAGTTTTCAGTTTTGATTTTCTCCAGCATCTTGGTTTGAAAACTCAAGAGGTCAAGTTCAGCCTTTGCATGATCTAACCACTGGTTAAGCATGTCATGATTGAAAGGGGAGCTGTAGTGGATCTTCAAGATGTCTTCCAATGAATTTTGCTCCATCTCTCCTCCTCGTATAGCAGGCAAGACCTTGGCCACTGCTTTTAGAAATACTATTTTGTAAATGTTAAGAGAGCCCTGAAATAAACAGAGCCTCTCTGTGATGTATTTGAAAACATTTACCAGTGTTTTTCTAGACAGGTCATTGCATGTCCTTTCTACTTCTCCCAGCCCCTCTATTATATCTTCAGTGTTGGAAACCAGACGTGTGCTAAGTTCTCTCTCCAACTGAACAGCTTTTGTATCCAGTAGAGAAAGAGGATAGAGCCAGACTTTTACTGGAACTGCGTTCTGTGGATTCTCCTTCAGTATAGTGGGGAGCTTCTTGTACACCTCTAGGGCCTCCATGAAAGTGGTGGGACTTTGATCAAGGCGGACGTCACCATGAAATGTGCAGGCAGTCTTCTCAGCCACTTTCTTTTGAGCATCTGTCATATTTACAGATCCTTGTCCCTCAATGGAATATTGAGGAATCTTCTTGACCATGATATTCAGTTTTCCCTCAATCTCCTGCTTATCTTCATCTTCTGAAAATGTTCGATCAAACACCATGACTGCCTGAGCTCCGTATAGTACACCTGTGACCACATGAGTTGCAGTTTTCTGGTCAAAGACCTGAGGGTAGGTGATCTTGCCCAACTGAGTCATAGTGAGCTGTTCAAATCTGGAGGTTTCACTGTAATACATTGTAACTCTGGACTGATGGTTTGAGGATTTGGTGTCACGCAGGAACTTGGCAGATCCTCCCACCTCCACCAGCCCTCCCACGAAGCTGGCCTTCAGGGAAGCGCTTACATCCAGGAGACTGGACTTACTAGAGAGAGAGTCAGAGCTACTGAACTTCAAATCTGTCCTGGGCTGTGGACGGCTGTCCAAATCTTCACTCAATGATTTCTTATCCCACAGAGTGACACCTGAAATGAGAAATTACTTTTAGAGTTATGTACGAGGAAGTGATGTATGTTAAAGAAACATTTAGGTTTTATAGTGTTGTTACAGAAGGATTGGTAATTAGTGATGCAAGATTTGATGAAGAGGGGAAAATAAACGTTTCATTATTTATTGTTTTTAGGTTTGTAAGGCACCTGGAATGAAGGTATCCTTGCGGCAGTCATACAGCATACCAGGAAACAGAGGTCTTCCTAAAGCTGCCACTTCAATGGGCTGTGATTCCAGGGCTGCAGTAAATAACAAATAAAAGGTAAAAATGTATACTTAGAATATTTATAATATATTAACAAAATGACATCTGATAATGAATACTGTTAAAACTCTTTCTCCGCCAGCATTTTTGAAAAAGTTGGCAAAATTTTCATGACCTCCAAAATATTTGTTGTAAGAATATCTCAAACATGCAAAATTTCAAAAGAGAGAGCACACCCTCTGCTTTAAAAAACCAAAAAGTTTTTATTCTAGCTTCATCCATTCTTTTTTAAGTTTCATCAAAAAAGCAACAATTTGAGCAAAAAGCTGAGAAAATCAAAGACTTTTTTTGTCAAAAAAAAAAAAAAGACTACGTCTAGATCTAATTCAGAACGATGATCAAAACATAGATGGATAGAGTAGATTGAGTCCATCAACACCGTCAAAGCTTGCACAGTCCTATAGCTTGTCATGGATCGACTTTTCATTCGGTAACATTATACAGTTTTGATTAATGTGGTTTAATGTTGATGATTGAATGTTTTTTCACCTGCTTCATTCATTACTCTTTCAGAAGATGCGTAATGGTGCCCCCTACCGTATAACAGTGAAAACACGAAAAGCCGGAAATATCCGTCAATGGGGGGGAAAGATTTAATACTGAAGAAATACTGAAGTGAATGGTCAAAGGAAATACAGAATTAAACCTTCGACCTTCAGGTCAGTATAATTATATCATATAAAATCCTTAATTTATATGTACACATTTAAAAGACGCTTTTATCCAAAGCAACTTACAATAGAGTCTCTTACATCAATCACCAGAGTGAGCAGTGTTTGCACCCCCTATTCAGGCAGATGCAGCAGTTCCTGCTCTGGTCAGAAACCAAACTGCTCTCCCAGAGGGCAATTTTCATTCTGGCTGGAGATTTGGAAACTTTGTTTCTTGCCCCTGAGAGGTAGCAGCTCATAGATTCTGATCTCTCAACGCCATGACAGCGTTGAGTTCCCTTCGAAAGGCAACGTCTCAGGTTCCCTGAAAGGGGAATGAGAGGCTGTCATGGCGTTGACACTATGGGAATGTCATTACAAACTAAAGCCCTGCATTTCAGCCCGAGCCCGACGGGCCCCGACTTATTTACGCCCCTAGGGCCGGGCTTCGGGCCAATTTTCACGTCATAGTTCACATGCGGGCCGGGCCTCGGGCCTTTTTTGGGTTATCCTTCTTTTTATATTTTTAGACATTAATTTAAAAATGTATATGAAGTTGACGTCGACGATAGAAAAACAAACATAAAAAGCCATTTCATAACCTCGTAACTTTCATAATCTTATAATTACACAAACAAATGACTGACATGACAGTCTCACGCATGCACGCACGCACACACACAAAAGGTTTCCCGTCAGCGGCGCGACCCACGATTCACCTCATGAGCAAATAATGGAGAATATTAAGAGAAAAATCGCAGATGGCCAACTTAAAACGGTAAAAAACACCAGAGGAAAGGCAAACTTCTGGGCTGTTTTTCAAATCGTGACAACCTTAAATGATGAGCCAACTGGTTATGCACAATGTACAACTTGCAAGGCTGTGCTAAGCTACGATAGTAAGAAGACGGGATCATCTCATTTACAAAGACATTTTGAGCGTGGTGGATGTAACGGTAGCGAACCAACCAGCAGCAGCAAACAAATGAGTGTGAGTGATTTCCTTGCCAAACCAACTCCTTCTAGGGTGAAATCACTGATCACAGATAAATGCGTGAATTTCTGTTGTATGGACATTCGGTCATTTGAAACGGTAGCAGGGAACGGTTTCATCCAGTTAGCGCAAGAGCTAATAAATGTAGGCGCAGCCCATGGACGTCTGTCAGTAACAAGTTTACTCCCTGACCCCACCACAATCTCCCGAAAGTGCAAAGAACTGGCGACTGCTAAGAGAGGGGACGTGGTTGAAGAAATCAAGGGGGTCATGTCGTTGATAAATGTGGGCATGACAACTGACATGTGGACGGATGATCACCGTAAAATAAGCTACATGTCAATCACATGTCACTATGTCACACCACAATATGACATGAAGAGCAGGGTACTCACCACAACAAGCTTCCCAAACGAGGCCAAAACAGCAGACAATATTCGAAAAGAGTTGCAGCAACAATTCTCAGTCCTTGGATTCGATGCTTCGGTGATGAATTCTGTTGTCTGGGTAACCGATCAAGGCGCTAATTATGTTGCCGCTCTTCGCCCATACCGGCGCCTGGACTGTCAAGACCACCTGTACAACACTGTCCTCCGGCATGCCTTGAACTCCGATGAGCTTTCAGAAACAGTCCCAGAAGTAGCAGAGACCCTTCAGGCCGCCAAGGCTTTAGTCCGATATTTAAAGCAGTCAGGTCTGACAAGCCGGTTGTCAAAAACTGTCAAACAGATGGCAGAAACCAGATTTAGCACCGTATTTCTCACCCTGGAGTCAATTGAGTCAGTCTACGCAGAGTTACAGGAGATACTTCAGAGCCGTGGTGGGAGCCAGAGACTACACGATGTGTCCCCTGATGTGCTGTCTTTCCTGATTCAATTTTTGCGCCCATTCTACGACGCACAAAGGGAGTTGGAGGGGGATAAATACCCAACACTGAACCTCGTCGTGCCCTGGCTTCACAAGCTGAAACACCATTGCCAGCCAGATGTGTCGGACACTCCTTCCCAAGCAATTATCCGCCAACGGCACCTTGAGTGGATAATAAAGAAAGTCCACATCCAGCCACTTCACAAACTGGCCATATTCTTATGGCCAAAGTTCAGTCAGTTAAGGATGTTTACCAACGCCGAGAGGGATGACATCTTTCAGCTGGCCAAACGTCAGATAGCTCGCTTTAGAGAGGAGGGGACGGCGGATCAAGCAGCCGGTGAGATTTTATTTTAAGTGTGTGTGTATTACTATTATTATTATTATCAGGCCTATTATTATTCTTATTATTTCACTTTATTTTCACCTGCAACCAAGTCACTTATTATAGTAGGTAGGTATTATAGGCCTCTAAATTAATGTATTAATCATAGCTACTTGGCCAACTAATAATTATAAAATAATTATGATTCATGCAGTGGCGAGCATTTCTGTGTCTGCACGTACACCTGTTGCTGCGGGCCATGCAGCAAAGAAGAGAGCGCTGGCCGAGTTTGAGGAAGAGTGGGAAAACATTCTGGAGCAGGACGAGGATGACGACGATGAAGTACAGCAATACATGCGCCTCAATCACAACATGGAAGGTGATGGACGAGATGTGCTGCTCTGGTGGAAACAGCACGAGACCCTGCTACCACAACTGTCCAGACTGGCCCGCTCTGTGTTTAGTGTCCCCGCCAGCAGCAGCAGCAGCGAACGTGTCTTCAGCGCCGCGGGAAGAGTGATAGAAGAGAGGAGGACTGGGTTAAAACCTTCCACTGTGGATGCTATTCTTTTTCTCCACGATGCTCTGTAAGAGACCGTTCTAACTTTTCGTTTGATTGGACTTTATTTTCGTTTAACTGTTGTAAACTACTGATGTTTTTCGTTTGATTGGACTTTATTTTCGTTTAACTGTTGTAAACTACTGATGTTTTTCGTTTGATTGGACTTTATTTTCGTTTAACTGTTGTAAACTACTGATGTTTTTCGTTTGATTGGACTTTATTTTCGTTTAACTGTTGTAAACTACTGATGTTTTTCGTTTGATTGGACTTTATTTTCGTTTAACTGTTGTAAACTACTGATGTTTTTCGTTTGATTGGACTTTATTTTCGTTTAACTGTTGTAAACTACTGATGTTTTTCGTTTGATTGGACTTTATTTTCGTTTAACTGTTGTAAACTACTGATGTTTTTCGTTTGATTGGACTTTATTTTCGTTTAACTGTTGTAAACTACTGATGTTTTTCGTTTGATTGGACTTTATTTTCGTTTAACTGTTAAACTATTGGAAAAAAGAATGGCCATGTTCTGTGGTGAATTTTTGAGGTAAGATAACCTGCGAGACTGCGAGTTTGTTTTTAATTAATTTAATTTAATTTGTTTAGACTTTAGATTGTAGGCTATGCTCATTTCGTTTGCGATGTTGCGAGCAGCCTGAGCTTGCCTCAGTAGGCTATTTAAAAAAGGTGTTTTACTCACTGTGGTTTAATAAATAAACATTTATTAAACTAACTGTCTGTGTGATATGCTTGAAGTGTTTTATATCTATGGTTTTTATTGTAGCCAAGTAAAGTAGCCTATTAGCGTTGATTTGAGAGGCTAAATTAATCATGTTTTACTCGCTGTCGGCGCGGCTGCTTGGTCGTCATTTAAAAAAAAGAATGCTCCAAACATTTGTCTTAACTTAATAAAGAAATAAAAAGAAACATAACTAACAAAACTGACCTATTTTAATGGCTGCAAATAGGGCAGGCTGCCGCTGTGTCATAAAAAAAAAAACGGGCTCGGGTCGGACTCGGGCTGATAATTCTGATGAGCTGTCGGACACGGGTCGGGCTAGGGCCTGAGCGTTTCGGGCCAGGGCCGGGCTCGGGCCTAGATTTGAGGCCCGTGCAGGGCTCTATTACAAACCTCTCTTAAGGAAAGAGGAAAGAGGTTACATATGTAACCTGAGACAATTTTTGCTTCAAATAATATTGAATCTGTCCAGTGATATTGGTGATAGCACATTCACATTTTGTAACAACATTTCAATCTTACCTGGTTGGTTTTTTTTGTTTCCTTCGTCTGCTAAGAAATGAAGTCCTCTGGTGTGAAGCTCATCAGGTTTGGGTTGTAACACTTTCTATTTTTGAAGGAATAGTTCATAAAATAATTTTCTAAAAAAAAAACTTCCACAAAGATTTTTTATTCTTAATCTCATGAAATACATCTGGGCACACATCCACATTTTCTCTGAGGGAGTGCACTTACCTGTGTATTCACCACAGCTAGGGTTGCCAACCATAGATATGTACAGTAGATGCAGCTCGCCTGCTTCAAAAGTGCCACCATCTTGAAATCATCAACCTGTTTGAATGTCAATGTGAAGGAGTCAT